CATCGCCGCCGAAGTCAAGACGATGAACAAGCTAAAAACTTAGACTACAAAAGAGTAAAAAGATCCACGCAAATGGATCCGGCGATCCCCCTCACCATGGACGACTGAGGTCGCCGGCGGAGGGGAGCTGCCAAAGGACGGCGCTGAAAGATGGGCTCTCCTGGTGGCGTCTAGGGTTCCAGCTACCAGGCACAAGAGAAAACACCCGTCATGTAACATCGCAAAAACTCTTCTAGGCCAGCAAACCGTGCATGTACGTGCAAACATCGCAGTACATTTTTGTTTTAAGAAATTATGCTTAAATTCAAACCATGAAATAATACAAAGTTCTTGACCCGTACAAGCACACTCTATCACATGCACATAGAACCATAAAAGTAGAGACCGCCATAAAATTACCAGTAAAACACGAAGATCTCCGCAGCTATGTGCCATCATTCCTGAACCTTGCGAGAAGACTCCCGCAACACAAGAATCTGCAACCAGACCCATGCTGGTCATCATCTTCAACTACCGCGGTGTTTCGCCTTTCCTTTGCACCGGCGCAGGAAAGACAAATCAAAATCCAACTTCAAACATCCATGCCAAGATCCATGATTCAACCTTTTTTTGGTAATTATTTCATCTACTTGTAATACAAATCATTGGAAAACAAGTGGAGGAAGACAATGGTTGGAAAGAAAAAGCATAACAGAAAGGGTAGGAAAATAAAAGGGTGAGAGAGAAACAACGTGAAATTACCTAAAATGACTTTGATGAATTGGTGTGAGCGGAAAACCCTTGACAAGTTTTATTCATTGGAGACAAGGGCATGGTGTCCAGGACGTCCGATCTGAGTAAGGACAACTCCACCGCGCGACCCTATCCTGTCCGGCCCCGTCCGTTTGGGGCAAAACGGACAAACCAGGCGGCCCAGCGCGCCCGAGCAAACGGACATTTGTCCATTTTGTGTCCGCTTTCGACCCATCCGAGGCCCAAGTTTGCGCCGCTTTTGGGGCGAAATGGACAGCGCGCGGACGGGCGGGACGCGCGCGCTTGTCCGTCCCTGGCC